ATGCAGATAGAGGATTACCTCTATGGGAAGAAACTTCATCTTCCACTACTGGAAAAACGACCGGAGAAGATGGAAGAGGCTGATTGGAATCTGTTGGATCGACAGGTTCTCGGTGTTATTTGATTAACCCTATCGAGGTCCGTTGCTCACAATGTTATAAAGGAGAGGACAACGGCAGATCTTATGGCGGTCTTATCAGGTATGTATGAAAAGTCATCGGCGAATAACAAGGTGCATTTGATGAAAAAGTTATTCAACCTGAAGATGGTGGAAGGTGTGTCGGTTGTTCAACATTTGAATGATTTCAACACTATTATAAATCAATTATCGTCCGTTGAAATTGATTTTGACGATGAGATACGTGCGCTGATATTGTTGGCTTCATTATCAAATAGCTGAGAAGTCATGGGGATGGCAGTTAGCAACTCTGCAGGTAAAACCAAACTGAAATATGATGATATTCGTGACTTGATTCTTGCTGAAGAGGTGAGCAGGAAAGATTATGGTGAGATCTCAGGTTCGAGTTCAGCACTGAATGTGATTCCAAATGGAGATCACAAGACAGGAACTCAAACAGAGGAAGGTCGAAATCAAAACATAGAAGCAAGAGCAAGTCAAAGTCTGGTCAGCAAGCAACCTGCTGGAATTGTGGAAAAATTGGCCACATAAAGAAGTACTGTAAAAATCCTAAGAAGACGGAGAACGTCAGTGCTAACGTTGTAACTGAAGAAGTGCATGATGAGCTATTGCTTGCAGTTCATAACTCTGTTGACGACTGGATACTTGACTCGAAAGCTTCTTTTCACACATATTCTCACCGGGAGTTAATGAGAAACTATGTTTCAGGTGACTTTAGGAAAGTGTACCTGACTGATGGAGCAGCTTTGAATGTGGTGGGGATGAGAGATGTTGAAATTGCACTCTTTAACAGAAACAAATGGATCCTGCAAAAGGTTAGGCGCATTCCTGAACTGAAAAAGAACCTCATATCTATTGGGCAGCTTGATGAGGGAGGTCATTCAGTAGTGTTCTCTGATAACACCTGGAAGGTTACTAAAGGAGCACTGGTACTGGCTCGGGGTAAGAAGACTGGTACGCTATATATGACAACTGGTCTAATTAACAATGTCTATACCACAGTAGCAGAGAGCACAGCAGACATGTGACATTGCAGACTCGGACACATAAGTCAGAGAGGTATGAAAGAGCTTCAGTCCAGAAGCAAGCTACCAGAACTAAAATCCGTTGAGTTCGGCATGTGTGAAAGTTGCATCATGGGGAAACAGAAGAAGGTCAGTTTCCTGAAAGGTGGCAGGGTGCCAAAGGCAGGAAAACTAGAACTGGTACACACCGATGTGTGGGGGCCTTCCCCAGTGGCATCTCTTGGAGGATCTCGCTATTACGTCACATTCATAGATGACCACAGCAGAAAGGAATGGGTTTATTTTCTGAAACATAAATCTGATGTATTTTCTGTGTT